TTTTTTAGATTTGCCCATATATATGTAAGTGCATAGTCAAACTTGCGATTTACCTATCTACCCTACTGGCTAAGTGGCGCACATATCTATATACATATATATACAATTGTCCACAAAATAATAGGAGTGCGATATTTTGACCAGTTTTGGCTATTTGTCTTTTGTTTATTTAAGGTTTATTATTTTTTTTATAAAAGCCTAGCTGGCTATACAACAAACACCATATAAATTCAGATTTTAAACTTTGTATAAAAATTATAAAAATTTTGCAATTTTTCACCCAAATTTCAAACTTTTTAATCAGAATCTTTAGAAAAAATTCTGGTATGCAGTTTTGTAGCACATTCAATTCTAGTCTGAAGAAGTGCAAGTTTCAAGCGGCTAAAAAATTCCGTTGATTTTTGAGAATTTTTTTGGTTAAAGGTGTTTCACGTTTTTTCCATACAAAGTATGTCGACAATTTTCTTTTATATGGAGGACACTGCCAGCAAAAAAGTTGCCAAAAATCAACGGAATTTTTTAGCCGCTTGAAACTTGCACTTCTTCAGACTAGAATTGAATGTGCTACGAAACTGCATACCAGAATTTTTTCTAAAGATTCTGATTAAAAAGTCTGAAATTTGGGTGAAAAATTTGCAAATTTTTATAATTTTTATACAAAGTTTAAAATTTGAATTTATATGGTGTTTGGTGTATAGCCAGCTAGGCTTTTATAAAAAAATAATAAACATTAAATAAACAAAAGACAAATAGCCAAAACTGGTCAAAATATCGCACTCCTATTATTTTGTGGACAACTGTATATATATAAGTTACCCACAAGAAAAAATATTAATACCAGAACAAAACTAAAAGTAGACTTGGAATTAAATTAAATACAGGGAACAATTGATTAATATCACTATATAGTTAACTTTGTAATTCTGTCAATCACCATTAGGCACTGTACTTATTTGTTTTTAGTTAACATAACTTGAATATATTAAATAAAGAAAAAAATATGGATTCGTAAATTTATCTTATTAATGGTCTGTTTCTGAAGGAAGCGTGTGATGCGATGGGGCTTTATGACCAGTAACAAAGCCATGGTAGGGTGGGTGAAGAGCAGCCGTAACAAATACATACGCGCCAGGCTAAGATAATATAGGTAGTTAAGGGCAGTAGATCTTATGATGGTGTGGTAAATCATTTGTTTTCCCCTAGTGAGCAAGAATAATATTATCTGGTTAGGACAGTAGGCAGAGGGGCTTGGTTTGCAGCTGCGTTAATGCACGCAATGATGCGAAAGATTGTTATTGGAGATATCGCCGCTCAGTCGAACGCATCACTGGGACTTCACTTTGCGAAGCTCTACGTACGAACTTCCAGCAGCATAAAAGTGAGTTTGAAATCAAAGAACAAATTCGAAGTAGAAAGCAAGGAGCTACAGAGATCTTCGATGATTTAAGAAATGCTGTTATCAAACTTGCTGAGTCCTTACAATCTCCGTTTCCAGAACCAGAGCTTATCGAAATTTTACAACATAATTTAAGACCGCGTATTCGACAACAGTTGTTGTATATACCGATCAATTCGATAGCCCAACTTCGAAAATTATGCCTGAAAGGCGAAAGCTTAGCAAACGAAATTGTCAAGTCGACTAATTCGCAAACAATGGTAAGACAACGACACCAAATGCGTCGTCATGTCAACGAATTACAAGGTGACGACGATTTATCAGAAAACTTAGATTACGAAATCGACGAAGTTTCGAAGCCTTCTGTAAAAGCCAAAATACTCTGTTGGAATTGTAAAGGTGAAGGACATCGTTACTATAACTGCCTGGAAGAGCGAACAGTATTTTGCTATGGCTGTGGTGCACCCGATATTTATCGACCAAAATGTCCAGATTGCTCTTCGGGAAACTCCAAAGCGAGCGAGGCTTTGAAGCAGAGTCCTCGCTCCCCGAAGACAAACATTTAAAAAAGTTGCTCATATGTCTTGACAAGTCCATCACGAATGGTGGCGTAACATCGCTCATACGCCCTGACAGCAAGGAAACTACTAATCCGTTTACAATTATACCATATGAAGTCCGCCTTAAAAATTATAACGAAATTAGGAAACAAAATTTTGATAATGACAGAAAACCATCCTCAAGTCGTTCGTCTGCCCGTCACAGTGAATTTTGGAAGGTTGTTAAAAATAATCGCAAACAGATAAAAAGTTTTGTTTGTTCGATCGAACGTAACTTGTTTGATTTACGACCCTATGCGAATATTGAAATTCTCGGATGTGAACATTTGGCCCTCCTAGATAGCGGAGCCGAGGTTTCGTGCTTAGGTTCTTTGCTAGCGGAAAAGGTTTGCAAGGAACAACAACTACGCAAGCATTCAACGTCGGTATGTACCGCTGACGGAAGCAAAGAAGTAGTTTTCGGTACCATAGTGTTAAATGTAAAGTTTGAAGATAAGAAAGAAGCCATACAGTTTTTCATTATACCCTGTATGTCACAAAACGTCATACTTGGAGTCGACTTTTGGAGTAAATTCCAAATAGCCCCACGCATAGTATCCGAAAATACCCTTTTCTTAAGTGCTGAAGAACAACGAAAATTAGATTTTATTAAAAATAGATTTCCAAGCTTCGAAAAAGAAGGCTTAGGAAAAACTTCGCTTATGGAACACGTTACTGAGCTCCATCCTGCTGTCCGTCCGATAAAACAACGATATTTCCCAATATCGCCTGCCGTGAAAAAGTTTGTACATGCAGAGATAGATGAAATGCTCAAGCTAGGTGTAATCGAGGAATCCCCGGATAGTCCGTTGTCTAGTCCGATTGTGTTAGTGAGAAAGCCAAATAAAGTCCGTCGGTGTCTAGATTCAAGAAAAGTTAATAGCATTACCGTTAAGGGCGCGTATCCTCTTCCTCACATTGATGGTATTCTAAGCAGAATACCCAAGGCGAAGTACATTAGGACACTCGATTTGCGTCGTGCCTTTTGGCAGATACCGCTTCAGAACGCTCCAGAGATTACACCTCTTTTACTGTTCCAAATTATCCGCTTTACCGTTACCGCGTAATGCCATTTGACTTATGCAACGCCCCACAA